TTTTTTTTTTTTTTTTTTTTTTTGAAAGCCCAGGGGCATGGTCCAACTAGCAACGGGATAGGATAGAAAAGAGTTTGTGTGGCAGTTGAGTGACCCAAATCCTGCCGTGGAGTACTGGTGATCCCACGGTCAGTATTTTACCTGCATTACCCAAAAAAGTGAGGAGATCTTGGTTTCACTCCTCCTCTCCTTAACACTGGGCATGTCCGTGCAAAGACAGCTTCCCGCCAGAATATTTTCAATCCGTTGGGGGTGTGGCCAACCCCAAACGAGGTTGGGGTCGGCCTTAGCCCACTGGATAGAAGATTTTCAGCATTTTACTTGTTGTTGTGCAATTATCTCATTGGGTGGAGCCCTCCTTCAATCACGGAGTATATGGGGCGTCAGGATCACTGCTGACAGAAGTCGATTTTATTCCAAAAAAATGTGGCGGTTACTTTGTTCACTGCTTTTGCAACCACCACCATCAGTTCATTTGTGATCTGATGGCTGGGAAGCACTCTGCCGTGATTTCAGGTGGGAGGTCTCTGTTTCTTTTTTTTTTTTTTGCCTTTCTCCAGTTTTCTCACCCCAGAAATTCGTAATGAACCTGTCAGGCCGCTGCCACTCAGTGTCACACTGGATCGGCCACATTCCTATCCGACTGCTAATGGGACCACACCCCAGGTTGTTGTAGAGGTGGGATACTAGACGGATGGCAGTCACCCACAATACTCGGCCACTCGGTTGTCCAGATGAACCCCTCTGAAGACCCCACCCACCCTTCCTCTCATCTTTTTGCCCTGGCGCACCCCCACCCCCCCTGTCCTACCCTAGTGTTAACCACCCAGGGCCATCACCCATTGCCATCTTGGCGGGGTGACCTGACGAGACAGCGGTTGCAGGCACCGGGGCTAAGTAGAGACTCCTACCCCCTGCTCAGCCCCGGTTGGAGCAGACGCCATGCAAGCCTGATTGCATGGGGACTTCGGGAGCTAGGTATGAACATGCTACTACAGGTCTTCATGAGGGTGCGCAGTGACTCCCATCTAGCTTAGTTGTGTGGTGATGATAGAGAGCTGGGTATCCTCCGTTCCCTCGTATGTCCCTGGAGCCCGTTCCGGACCCACGGTAAGGTGCAGTATTTCCTGACACTCCCGCTATCCCGTACTAAGGAACTGCTATGCCAGCCTCAGCCGTATGCTACGTACTGGGAGGATAGCCAACCCTAGGTCATGAGTTATGG